CTTTGACGAAAATTCCAACATCAACTGTATGGAAAATTGTGCATAATCCCATTTCAGCGAGGAAAAAAAGAAGCGAGGCTGACATTTTCTCGAGTGTAGATGAAAGTGATCAAGACTACGGGGTAAAATTTACCGGTTATACGAGGAACAAAGCGTGCCTACATTGGATATCTTAATTAGGAGGCTTGAAAAAGATGAAACCGGTGTTAAATGTGGCAGAACTACCTTATGGAAGTTTATTCAACACATAAGTTTTAAATTTTAGTTTTTTAGTTAGAAGTTTTAATGGAATCTTTAGAATTCGGAAATGGCGACTGGAATATCTAGAAAAAATTAGAATTTACAGAGAACTACAAAGGCCAATTATTTACTTGGATGAAACCTGGTTAGACACTTATGATACCCCGGAAAAGTGTTGGTTTGACTCAACTGATGAGTGTAAAACAAACGCGCCATCAAAAAGAGGTAAAAGAATAACTATTTTGCATGCTGGCTCTAAAGATAGACTTTACACATATTCTAAATTACGGACAGTGCTTATATACAGGGTGTTATCTAATTGAATATTACTAACGAAGGGCGCTATTTGTGGGTCCATTTTAAAATGAACACTTCATATAAACGTGCATCCTAAGCGTCTTAACTTTTGACATGCAGAGTGGTGAAGTTTTCAAAAAGCAAATATATTTTAAGATATTTGAATGAAATTTGGCACGCATGTACTTGTGCAACAAGAGGCATTATTTAGTGTGCACCAATTTTATTTGAATACACCAGTGGCGAACGTACGGAATTTCACCCGTTTGTTTTGGAGGCGCTGGTGGTACAATCTCCAACCATTTTTGAAGAAATTTAATTTCTTGATTTTTTTCAGTATGAGAGCATGGCTCGCATTTTACTCTGTACCTGCTGACAGATGACTGACTCCCATATTGGTGACAGGTAAAACCCGATGAAAAAACTTTACACTTTCTTCTTGACGAACTCATATTTTAAAAGACAAAACAAATTATATATACAGTAATTGAAACGAAATATTAACTCATCAGAACTTATTTAGATTCACGTGTAGGTACTTCGTATTGTCGAATAACTGAGATCTCAGCTGTTCTGCGGAACAAAGGGCGGGTATCGCTAAGAGTAGAGATCACTTGATGTTTGTATGTGCAGAAGCCTAATCGTGACTGATAAAATCGATTTTTTTGAATAAAAAGCTGATTATTGTTCAAATTATAAGATTTGTGAAATTTATAAAAATAAGAGCACATTCATATATATTCTGTGAAAATTTTTATGTTTTCAAGTGTCAAAAAAAAAATCTTTATTTGTAGAGCTGTATTATTTTTAAAAACTTGACCACCCTGTACCTCAAAGGTTAAGACGTACGTTCGTATGAGATTTTTTTTTAATGGACTCAAGAATCCAATTAGAAAACACCCCGTATATAAGTTTTATTTGTAATTTCGAATATATGTTACCATTTTCCGGGCAAGGCTGCCGATATCTGAATCCAGCGAATTCGTTAGCTTTGAAATGATCCGACCGGGGCCGTCGGTCGAACTAAGCGAATTACGACTTACGGGAGTCTGAGGCGTCGGTAAACTCACCTTTATTTACGATCCCCTCGTCGTTTGCTTAATTAGTTTGTCACCAATTATCCGCGACCCGTCAAACGCGCGCTAACGAGCGCTTATAAAGTGCGCGATACCGGGTATTCCGAAAGTAATTCGCAAAAATCAGGTAAAATAGAGTTATACTCTGCGAGGAGAGAGTTACGAATCATTGTGGAACTGTAAAACAGTTTTCTATAATATAATATACATACTATAATAATATTATGATTATATAAGATTTCTGGGTCTGAGTCTAACATATTAAATTTCAGTTTCTCTTACATTTAAAACAAACATATTTAGATTTATTTAGATTTTAGATTTTTTGGCAATAAACGACACACTCTGTATCTGATACAATCATTGTTCGAAGTAGAGGTTATAGCCCTGGATTTTCCACGCGTCCTGGTTCAAGAATTTATAAAAAAATAGTAAATGGTCTCGAGAAAATAAGTTTTTTTCTGAAACCATGCAATGCGCCGTAATAATCAATGACGTCATCGCGTCTTGACAGCCCCCGAAATAACGGTTTCAATATAGATTTTTTCAAATATCCCGAGCAGAGTACGTGATAGACGAAAACCGCAAATACAAAAATTGTAGTAGTTGATTTGCGACTAATAATTTGCTCTGTAAAAGAACAATTTTCTGGGTCTTTTAGATTTTTGTCTATAATTTGAAAACCCTGTATTTAATCGAAAAAATGCCCGAAATGAATGTTATTGCACTGGATCTTTTGCGTCTGCGTCTGCGTCTGCGATTATGGAGGAAAACATTTTTCTGGAAGATAAAATTAATAAATAAATAAAATAAATGTGGACACGGACTTTTACTTCCCTGCTAAATTTGAATTTGATATCTGCAAAATTAGGACCCATTTTTCAGATTTTTTGAATTTTCGGCGCACCCTGTATATTTTTAAAAAATTGTCAAGAATTTAAGTTTACAGAGTCGTATCTTCTGCTTCTTCTGGTTCAAAAATTTTTTTGGTCTCGTAATAAGTTTTAGAAAAATGATGTTTTTTGTAGACCCTTGCACCCCATCCCCTCCATTTTCAATAGGTTCCGTCACGGGGCAACGCTGCATATATGTGCATTGTATGTTGAAAAGGAGGCAAATTTCAATTTTTCTAAAGTTATTCAGGAAAAACCAAAAGATGAGAGCGGAGAACGGAGAACGGACAGATAAAAAAATTTTTTTTTCGACGGTGATCATTTCTGTGCCAACGGCAATCCCATAGGACCTACCGTTACCGAGATCTAAAATGTTTATACGAGCGCAGATACTTTCGAAAAATTCTATTTTCGAAAGTAACAAGGACGTTTTGGCGTCGGTTTGACCAGTTGCAGTGTTTTGATTGGCGCCCGTAACTCTAATAATAGTTCTTTTTTTCTATGACAATCTTATTCGTCTCTCCTGTAAAGTGCCAATTGTAGTTGCCTAGTAGCGCCTCTTTAGTAGTCTCCACAAAGCCAGGTTATAATAATAACACTCCCGTTTGACTCCTGATACAACAAAGGCGGCTAACCGCCGCCATTTTTAATTCCGTTGCGACGCGTTCAAAGGGATACGGACGAAAGGTTGTAAAAATCATCTCCGACCCGTCGACTGGCTCGATTCCGTTATGCAAATGTCGTCGGTATTATCATAACGCAACGGAAGGCCTCGTTCTCACATTTCGTTTCCAATTGGCGGACGATTTCATTTACCCGACGTTGCCGGACTCCGACGCGGTCGGGCGGCGTTGCCGAACTTCGCCATTTTCCTCAAAATTGCGGATTCGGAAGTCGAATGAGTTTAAAATGACGTTAATTGAAAATACTGTTACTACGTCCGAAAAGTTGCTCTAGAAAAGTTCTAAACAATTAGAAATGGTAAAAAGTCCTGTTTAGTTTTTTGCTTATAATTCGTAACCGAATATTTCCTTTGAATTTTGAAAAAAAGATCCTTAAGAAACTGTACGCCCATTAAGGTGGGTCAAAATACGATATTTTTTTTTGGATCGGACACGCAAAATAGTTTTGTGATATATATAAATAATCATATCTTATCACCAATAGATCATTAACACAATTTTATTGATACAAAAATGGTCACTACACTTTTTTGATAAATTGAACTATTTCAAAGATAAATCGATTTAAAGAAAAACAACTTTGTGTTTTGAATTTTGTTATTGGCGAAAATTTTGAATTATTCATATAGGAAATTTAATGCTCTCTCGAACCGTTTTGAAGATACTTGCATTGGAATCCTAATGGGTACTTATATTCATAGTTTTTAATAAATATTTTCAATTTATTCGTGAAATTGGCAAGTTTTCGCAACATTCATAAAAATTTGAGTTTTTGATATGTTTTGTACCATTGGGGTATTACAAACCTTTAATTTATTTTAATTTTGTACATACAGGGTGTTTCATTCTTCGTGGGCGAGTCTCAACTTTCTTATTTTAAATGGAACACCTGCTATGCTACTTCATTTTTGAATTCTATACAAAATTCTAGACATATTTTGTGCATAATGTCCTATACCTAAGTCTGACCGTTCTTGACATTTTTAATTTTTATCTGCCAATTTCTTCATTCGGAAGCATTTATCGTTTCACTTGAGTAAGTTTTGTTGTAGTTTTGTTTTCTATTAACGGAATTCATGAGAAATTTTGATACATTTTAATACAGGGTACGCGAAAAATAAGATTAAAAATGAAATAAAAAAAATTGCCAAAAAACTTTTTTTTTTTAATGGAAACTATCCATTTTTATAATCTTGTCATATTAAGCATCAAAAATTAAGGCAATTTTATCTGATGAGTTGCAATTTCATTTTCGTCTAAAAATTTTACTTTATTTCATTTTATTTTTTAATCGACAACCGCGACTCGCGAGCGACAAGAGTTTGATCTTCGCGAGTCCATCTCCGGGGGGGGGAGGGAAAAGCTTTTTTCCGCGGTCCCGGGAAAGTTCTCATATTTTCGCGAATCGTGAGACTTTAAAAAACGCATTTCGTGTTTTAAGTGGAAAGTTGGGTAACGGGGGGCGGCGTAATTTTATAACTAGAGGCGGGTAGGCTTTTGTACGAGGCTCTCAGCGAAATGAAAGAATGCAAACAATAAGTTATCCGTCCTTTCCTGCTGTTAAAATTTTGTGTTTTCTCACTAAGGACGCGATTTTTGGGTGCGTTTTAAGAAAAAAACTGCATATGAACATTTTTCAAGTGCCTATAGTCCCTTATAACGAAAAAAAAGCAGTAGAACCAGAAGCGCAATTCAATTGTTTATTATATCAAAATGTAGCCGTTCTATATCTATCTCGAAATATGTCGCGGCCGACTTCTCCCCCCCCCCCACATTTTTTTCTAATCGCGTTGTTTTTTGTCCCTTTGCAGTCGACAATGAAGTGCTACGCTGTGGCTGTGACAGGCCTGCTTTTTTGGACATCCCTCGTCAACGCGGGACAACTTATCACCGGTTACAATCTGATCGGACCCCAACAGCTAATAGTCCCCTACGAGCCCCAAATCGTCCCCACGTTTCCCCATCACAGGTTTGTTTCAAGCAAGATAACGAACTAACGTCTAGGCATCCAGGCGAACTTGGCGTCTCTCTGTACCACACCAAAACAAAAACTAACCAAAAAAATAAAAGGAATATAAATTTTAAATCATTTATATTCACATTTATAGTCCAGCACGGGAATTTTTTAACATATCCGGGGTGCCTCAAAAAAGCGTGACGAATAAAACATATTTTTTTTTAATGGAACGTCCTTTTAAAAATTCGCATTTTGAATTAGATGCTGCAAGGTGTTCAAAATAAGCGAATGTATTTGGATCACTTTAAATTGAAAAATCTCGATTTTCTTAAACGTCATGAATGTCAAAAATAAGGGGAGCGATTTTTCGGGCCATTTTAAAAATAAATCTCCCTATGAGCATATGTCGCAAACGTCTTAACTTTTGAAATAGACTGTGGTGATTTTTTTTTAAATAATATATATTTTTTTAATACTAGTAATTTTATTTTATATATTTTAATGATTATTTTTTAAATACACCAGTGGCGGGAGTAAGGAAAATCTTACAAAAACCTACCATTTTTATTCTGTAATAATTGTAAAGGCAAGTATAAAATTGTACTGGAATAGTGAAAATGTATAAAATGTTATGGATAACAAAAATATTTTTAATCGTTGTTTAAATAAAGACATTTTTAACTCTAATGGCAGATTACTAAAAATACGAACACAGTGGGGAACATGCAGTCTGTGCATGCTGTCTTTTTTGCTGAGAATGTACGTCACCATCTACTTAAAATTCTATAAATTGTTAAAGACATATAATAACATTTCAAAAATGAAAAGTACTGGGCATATAAATCCCTACAAAAGTACTTTATCTCATGAGCAACTCTTCCATCGTTAAAATCTCACAGAGATTTATAAAAAGATGTTTTACACTGTTTAGAGTTAAATCAAAGTAATCACAATGAGACTTCCAATCTACCTCACAGCATAACTACTGGCGATAGTGTCAATGCGTAAGCAGATATTAAAATTATCACATAGTTTCTGATGGTTATTGCTTTTCTATTAGCACAAAATTTTTGTTGACCCGTATCACTTCCCTGGACTGTAGTGAGAGCACAGATTCAATTGCCAACCACTCAGGACCGGCTTGATATATCGCTTTTACAATAAATTATCTTCTAATATAAATGGCTGTTTTCACAGTACTGACTTTAAACCAGCGTAACTTGTCTACTTTTAAACATTTGTTTTGTGACTTTAACTGATTTATATATATTTTTACATATATTGTTTTTGTTATCCTTATATGTATTTTTTTTGTTTTGTTTTGAGATTTACTACGCATACATTTTGTATACCGTGGTTAAATAAATAAATCTAAACCAACGCCATTCGTTTGCAGGTCAGTACCGGCCCATCCGAGGGCGCTGCAGACGTCCCTGGAAGAGTCGGTGCTGCCGGAAGGTCTTTCTAAGTCTAACCACTTCTACGGTAACCCCTTGATCGCTGGCGCCCTGGCCAGGGAGTCGCTCAACTTCAACAAAGAAGCGGTTGTGTATGACAGGCCGTCGGAGAAGATCCCCAGGGATGAAATCGCGAAGCTGATCAACAACCTCCACAGGGTGCATCACGGAGTCCGCTAAGGTCGACGAGATGATCCCTAGTTCGGGAAAATAAAAAAGTCTGAGTTTTCGAATTGTCTCATCTTCTTTTCTTTCTCCTTTTTACGTTTATTTATATTAATTTGTCCTTTCCTCTCTATTCTTCTCCTCCTTCTTAATTTACCCGCAATCCTAACTTGAAAAGTTAGTCCTTTACACTTTTCCTCACTTCTTTCTTGTTTTCATTTCCGTCATTAATATCCCTACTTTTCCTATTCATTCTTGTTTACGGTTTTTTTTTCAATTTTTGTGTGTTTCCGTAGTGTAAAAATGTAAATAAAGTATTGTTATTATTAATATATGCATTTTGAATTTATTTTCATCTTCAGTGCGCAAAGGGATACTGAAAAATCCGCGTAAATATGCTTCTTCTTGTACTTAGTTTACCGACAGAGTTAACATGGAAATTTAGATATTTTAACGTTTCTTCGCTTCCTCCTTGTTTCTTTCATTTCATTCTTGATTGTTCTATATTTCTATGTTTTGGTGGCTTTTTTCATTTTGCCCAACTTTGTGGAGGGATGTTAAAAACCTCGGTTTCGATAAGTTTGAGGATATTACAGTTAACTCGACGAAAAACATTGTTACGACAAATGGCAGATTTCAGTTGATGCCAAACATGTTCAGTGGTAAGGTGGCCTTAAAACTGTATGCATAATTATCACAGACGTATTCCTTTTGTAGGTTCAAGCTTTGTAGAACCTCAATTAATTGCTTTTTGGTATAATCTTCGTGAAAATAAATATCGTTATTATACATGTAGTTTTGGATTGTTGCTTTTGTGTCACATGAGGAAGGGGTTTTAGTCAACTGTCTACTGTGATAACTTGCATTGTCCATTACAATGACGCTATTAGGAGGAATGTTTGGAACTTTAAAACAACTTTCAAATAAATCAGCGGTGGTGTCTTCATGATAATCCAGAGAAGAATCTTTATATTTTTCGCAGCCAGCATGCAAAATAGTTATTCTTTTACCTCTTTTTGATCAAGCTTGTCGGTCCCTCTGGGTCAGTACTGCACTGTGTTTCAGGCGGAAATTTTCGCTTTATTGATGGCGGCCAGAGAGGTGCTTCGGCTCAACTACGGAAGCAGGAGAGTCTTCTTCTGCTCGGATAGTAGGGCTGCACTCATGGCGCTGAAGTCAGTGCGTACGCGCTCCTTGTTGATAAATGAGTGCAAAGGGGTACTGAGGAGGGTGGCTGAGGAGAGAAAGGTCACGTTGGTCTGGGTCCCGGGTCACACCGGTGTCCGGGGCAATGAGGCAGCGGACGCCTTAGCCAGGGAGGGCTCCTCGCATAGGCATATAGGGCCAGAGCCCCGCTTGGGGACCGGGCCGCGGGGGGCTGGGGAGTTGCTCCGGGAATGAGGCAGGCAAGGCTTATGATGGATGGGCCCGCCCTTCCTCGCACCAGGGAGCTGCGTAGACTGACCAGGAGGGAGTGTAGAGCACTAACAGGGGCCTACACAGGACATTGCAGGCTTAGGAGGCATCTCTGCTTGCTAGGCATTGGAGACGACCCGGAGTGTAGGTGGTGCATGGAAGGGGAGGAGACCCCGTATCATCTGCTCACCGAGTGCCCTGCCTTGACATGGGCAAGATTGGGAGTCTTCGGAACGGCCCTGATCGATCCGGACTCAGTGCACGGTATTGGGCTAAAGGATTTGCTGACCTTCTACAGGAGGGGCGGCATTCTGGACGCCCTCTAGAGCGGCCTGGGGGCACAACGGGCCCATCTGGTGGCCTAAGTGCTTGGACGCCCGCGAGGGCGCCCCCCTTTAATACCAATACCAATACCAATAATACCTCTTTTTGATGGCGCGTTTGTTTTACACTTATCAACCCAACCCTTTTCCGGGGTATCATAAGTGTCGAACCAGGTTTCACCCAAGTAAATAATTGGCCTTTGTTGTTCTCTGTAAATCCTAATTTTTTCTAGATATTCCAGTCGCCATTTCCGAATTCTAGAAGATTCCATTAAAACTTGCCTTTTGTCAATTTTTTTAAATCTAAAACCTATGTGTTGAATACACTTGCATAAGGTAGTTCTGCCACATTTAACACCGGTTTTATGTTTCTTCCTCGTATAACTGGTAAATTTTATCTCATGCTCACTTTCATCTACACTCGAGAAAATGTCAGCATCGCTTCTTTTTTTCCTCGCTGAAATGGGATTATTCACAATTTTCCATATATGATGTTGGAATTTTCGTCAATGTGGCCGTTTCTCTTAAAGATGCTTGCTTTCTGGCACCATGTTCAATGAGAGTCAAATAAACATTCTTTATAACTTAATTAGTCTCAATAGAATAGTGTTTTCTACATTTGGACGGGAGCATCTCCTGAGATACACTAGACTCGCACATATTTTGCATAATTCACACACGATTCAACACACGCTGACCAAACCAAAGAATATTAAACACAGGTAGGTATAAAATTATTTTTTATTACGGACCACAATTTTACCTGAATTTAAGTTCCGAAACTTTAGGTAATAATCTTGTTACATTGCATGTTAATGACCACCCCTGGATCGTCCCATTCAAAAGCAATTGGTCACTTTCTTATATGTATGAACAGACCATACCTTCGCCTCTCTCGACGAACCTAAGCGATATAAATGCGTGTAATAACCCCCCACGACCCCGTAGGGAATTAAAACCCAAACCGAAATCCTCTTTTAATTAAAACCGTTCCCGCATATTGGTTTTCTCCACGAAATTAATACAAATTGCCGTTTTGTCTAAGCAAATCACTTGTTCACGCGAGTTCGGATTAAAACAAAAGCTTCTCTCTTTTCTCTTCACCTCTCCGTTTGCTACAATTTCGTGGCAGATTTTTATTGTTTTTTTTTCAAAAAAGTATCTTCGAAATCCGCTAAACTTAATTTTATTTAGTTTTCTCGTCCATTCCGTCTACATATAACGAAGCAAACTCAGCGAGATTCTTATCCAATAATATAAACAAATTTCGATGAGGTTGTCGGCTTTCAGGATACACATTCAAATGCATTTCTGATGTATTGACACCGTTTCTATTATTTTTATAATCAAATTTCACCATATCTCATTTTTTATAAAACTTGAGAGAAACTGGCTCGCATTTTACTCTGTACCTGCTTATATATTGTTTGAGGGGGCGGACTCTCTCTCTCTCTTCTCTTTTTGTATCTTGTTTTCAAATAAATAAATAAATAAAAACCACTTATTGTTACATATCTGAAAATTGTGTTTTTTTCTTATCGAACGCGCTTTTTTCCGGAAATATCCGGAACTGGATTTGAATATAATCCGGGAAGCTCACAAGTTCCCCCGTCCTCCCAAGCGCAATCGCAAACTCTCAAAAGCCAAGTAAATTAAAAATCGATAAACCCCCCCGCCCCCAATATAAATTAATTGGAGCGGGAGGTGGGCGGATCCCGCGCTAATTATAAACTGCGAATTTTAATGTTGCTTCATTAATCGCCGTCTCTTCCACGACCCCCCGCCCCACTATGCCGGTGCGTTCGTGTCTCGCCAGACGAGCTAAACTCCGGAGACGCTCATGGGATTTATTCCGGCCCGAGTCCCGGACTATTCCGGGGTGCATTTTCGCTACGTCCAAGTGAAATACAATATTTAGTACTCAATACTCAATATATTTATTGCCTTCAATTGACTAAAAAAATGTAGTCTCGATAAATTAATTTAGATTTAGTAAATAATGGCCGCCTAAAACAACTTTGAGTGTACAAAACTACGCGAAGAAACCAAATAGTATAAATAAACCAAGTTATAATCAAAACAAATCAATTGAAAAATCAGAAAACAAAAAATGGTTTAATAAAAAAAATGGTCGGTGTAAAATATAACTACAAAAAGAGTAAACAAGAAAGTCGCCTAATCAAAATAAATGTAACTTGAATGTGTAAAACTAAAATCAGAAAATCAAAATCAAGAACAAAAAACCATACAATAGAAAAAAAATCCTAATTTTAACAAATGACACACAGATTTGTTTTTTTATTTCCTTTCGTATTCGTGGCGCCAGCACATCTTTTTTACCCGAATACGGATCTGCTTCTTGTTTATACTTCAAAGACTATGATTATTGTTACAATTGTCCCATTCTCTCCTGTTCTCATTTTTATAAAATGTCATTTAAATTAGTTTCCTATTTTCTTTCGTATTCGTCCTCCAAGCTTATTACTTTTTTAAACGGAATACGGATCACTTTCTTTTATCTATTGCTTGTTATAATTGACTCATTTTGCAGTGTTCTAATTTTTAACAGTGGAGCATTTAGAGTATTTTTTTTATTTTCCTTCATATTCGTGCCACCTGCAGTTTTTTTCCCAGAACCTGCTTCGTTTATCTACTTCAAAGACTGCGATTATTATAATTTATTTATTTTCTTCTCTTCTTATTTGACTTTTCACCCGAATACGGACCTGCTTCTTTTTTCTACTTTCGGTCCGTAGCTTGCACACGTCGACGGTCGTCCTTTCCGCGGAAATGATTCCGGCCTTTTCCGACAGCGTTTCAATGGGTCGTTCCTTATCTGTGGAAACTCGTCGCTGACAATTTCTTATCTCCGTTCTCCTATTCAAGCAGTTTTCTTTACGACCAACATCGACCGGAAGCAACAATTTTATTCGACTCCGTCTATGCAGATGCATTTCGAGAGGCGCATTTCAATTTATTCTCGCCTCTCCTCCCACCCCCCCACCCACCCCTCGCAAGAACTTCTTGTTCTGAATAATGCGAACCGGTGCAGTTCTGAAGCCAACAGGGGAAACGTCACCAAGTTCTATCCATCATTAAGGACGATTTTTTTTTTTAATCACGATTTAAGTAGATAGAATAAGCCGATTCTGTGACACTCCGCTGCAGAACGACATATCTCATTTTTCTCTACTGTTCAAGAATGAAAGTTCTTTCGTACATCGTATTTCCTCATAATTCGCCCCTTTTATATGAAAGTATTATGGATTTTTTATCAACTTGTCGAGATTGATACGAGCAAAAACAAAAAATTAAAAAAAAAATTTTAAAAGTTTCCGTGTAAAATTATTCGCTGCGTAAAGGGCATCGCTTTGATTACAAGTTCAAATTCAATTTTCAAATCATTGTAATGAAGATCAAAAACTTGAAATTCAACTTACCAGCATGTCTCAAAAAAGACGAGAATACAGGGAAATATTTGGTTAACCTGTGCGGTCAAATATAGAAAACAAATTCAGCGAAAGAAAATCCTTATACAGACAACCGCGGACCTAACAATATTTGTTCGTTTTAAAAAAAATTAGGTTTTCTTTTAATTTAAATTATTTTGGAACGTCAAAACAAATTTCATTCGACTCTTTACAAATACAGGAATTCTCGAGCAGATATGAAAATACAGGACCAACAAGTGATCCCGGTTTGGTGCGGCATCTTTAATAGCAGATCGATTGGGCCAATTATTTTGGACTTACATT